CGCTGCGCGAGGCTGGGGCAGGTCGGGGCGGGGTCTCGGGCGTGTGCCCCACCCGTGCGGACACGGGGCCGGGCGCGTGCTCACGCGTGTGTCTGGGACGCAGGTAAGCGTCGGGGTGCCCCTGCGGGGCGGGGCGATGCCCCGGGAGCCCTTGGCAAGGTCACTGCGGGGAGGCCGGGGGCTGGCCGCGGCGACCTGCGGCCCAGGTCCGTGCCCAGCCGCGGCGGAGCTGTCACGTGCTGGAGGCGCTCCCCGCAGCCCGGCCGCCCAGGGGTTAACGGAGGCTGATGAAACGGGCATGGGCCGGGGGAGTCCCCTCCTCCTCCGCGAGGTCGGAGCCGCCTTTTCCTTTCACCTGAGGAGCAGGAAGCAGGTCCCCTCCCCGCCAGGATCCTGCTTCGTTCCCTATATTGCCTCTGTCATCCCTGACAGCTGCATCCCTCTTCCTGGGTGTTTGGATCAGGGTGTTGTCCAGAGCTGGGGGCTTGGCTCCACCTGTGTTGGTCCAGGAGGAAAGGATGCAGGGTAAAGGCATGAGCAGAGAGAAGCCAGTTTTTGTTGCTTCATTTTGTTTCCCACATCTTGGCTTTTAGAGGTGCAGGCTAAGCCATGGCAGAGCCTCATTTAAAATGCATTATAAATGCGGAGTCATACATTGAAAATGCATTATAAATGCGGCCTCATGCAGTCTTAACTCTGCCTCCTTGGACGTGGCAAGAGGGGTAGTGAATATAACCATACCTTACCCCTCTCTAAGCAAACTTGCACTGTTTCTGAGTCCAGTGCGGCCCCAAAGCATCTGTGTAACGTGTAGCACCCCACCAAGATCCTTGGTGCTCTCCCTTGGATCCAGGGAGAGCTTAATCTTGGTGGACAGGGGCTGATTTCTTTTCATTCACTGTGTTATGTTACTGGGAAAACTATGACATTCTGATTTTAACTTAATGAACCCTGATATTGTGTTGCCTTTTAATATCTCATTGTACCTCTAATAAAAAAAAAATGCAAGCTTATTGGTTGCGTCACAGAATGTCTCCCTTGGAGAGCAAAAGGATGCCTTATCTGCACTAATCATAGCAAACCTTGTACATATTGTTGTGGCAGTGTTACTATGTACTGGACTGGACTAATGTAGATAGGTCTTGCATGTTTTTATCACAGTGTTGGAGGAAAAAAAACCCCCAACTCAGGTTTTCTAGGTGTGATGATTAATGTGTCCTATCAGCTCTAGCACGCACCTACTCTGTTATTAGCACTAGAGCAGATGGTGTTTTGCTTAACACACAAAAAAAGGATTAGGGGGGCGCTTGGAGGAACAGAACCCAACCAGGCACCGTCATTTTCTAGTATAGTTGGAAGTGAAGCTAAGGCCTGTTGGTGTGATTGCGAATGATGGAGATAATGCATACGACTGCTGGCACTAAGTTAGATTTCTTAACTATTTGCTTCCAGATTTTTTTAGACCATGAGCAAAGGGTAAATATATACTATGTGTATATATGTTTTTGGAGAAGGAAATCTTTCAACTTGACACTCTTGAAAATATATGCAGATAGTTCTGTTTAAACCTAGTCTAGCTTAATTGGATGCTGGGGCCTGTACAGATGAAGTTTCCTTTTTGAAGTTCATAAAGGACAAATCGGGCCTACCTAACTAGATCAATGCTTGTATGGCCTATCAGGATTGGTGTCTGAAGGGAAATTGGTAGAAGCAGGATTTGAAGTTTAGTAAAATGATTGACTGAAGTCTCAAATTATTTTTCTTCAAATGAATTACAATGGACTTTGATTTGACATGGTCTGTGGGATCAAAACTTCATAATATTAATAAAGCATATTAAGTAGCAGAGAAAGCTCATAGGGAAAGCCAAGTAGTGAGTTTAACATCTTCCATTTTTCTGTTTACTCCTTCTGCTGAATGTTAGTGAAAAACACACGTATTAGCAAGTTACGAAAGCTGATGACCTAGAGAGATTTAAAATTAAGGACAAATTTAACTTAGAACAGTGCATCTAGTATATGTGGGGAAAAGTGCTGGAAATACCCGTTCAGTAGGAGAATGATATTTTGAAAACAAGACTATATGGAAGAACTAAGATTGAGAGTGGTTAGAAAGTTAGACATGAATTTGATACTTTTACTGCTATACTCTGCAATTTTTGAGCTTCTCTTGGTAGAAGCATTATGTAATTGAGTCTGGAGTGTGCTAATCTTTCCCTTGGGGCTTTTGGCTAAGATTAAGTGTAACAAGATGAATACTTGGTATGTTCTCTGTTTAGGGTACAGTTGCGGATGGTCACTGTCTATGGTCAACTGGCCGTCTCGATTTCTGCTATCATCCTTTGGCTCTGTTGTGACTGTACTGGGGATGTTCCAGGTGCAAATCCAGTTCAGAAAGATACTGACATATTAGAAGGAAAATGGAAAAATCTGACTTGGTCAGGAGCTTGGAATAACTGATTTGGAAGCAAGAATTAAGAAGCAAAATGTATAGTTTGGCTAAATGTTTAAGGTGGAGGTGTGAAATGCTGTAGTTTTTAAGTATGCCAGAGGTATAAATAATCAGGAGGAGAAAGAAACCTGTTAGTGATTCAAGAATGTGTAATTATGAGAAATGGTGTGAAAATGAGCAGAAGAGATTGAATCATGAGATGTATTTTTTTTAAATTGGACACCCTTCAGGGTGGAACATTCAGTGTACTTTAGCCCCTAGAAAGTTAGGCAGGTTGTCTTAATAAATTTTAAACCTAGAAAGCACATTATGATCACACCATCAGAGCTCGTGCACAACAGATCCATCAGTAATTCTTGCATGTATCACTTAACTTCTAGCTAAGCCAAAGAATGTCTTTAGAAAGACATTCAGCCTTTTCTTTGAAGACTTCCAATGATAGAGACTCCATCACATCCCTATCAGACTATTTCAATGGCTAGTGACCCTTACTTAAAAGTGCATTCTATTTCTAGGCTGAATTTGTCTGTTAGAGATGGAGTGGCCAGTTTAAAGAGACTCTAAAGCATCAGCTCAGAGCACCTGTCACTACAAATGACTTGCTGCTCTAAACCTAAGACACTGTCACCCAGGCTAGGAGTTGCTTTGAAACCCAACAGCCACTAAACACTGAGCTGTCTTGCTAACTGGTACTGACTACTTTTTTTTCTTTACTGACTAGTTGGCAAGGCTTATTCTGCTCCAGTCAGAGGTACTCTGTGCATGAGTCTAAACTATTCATTCTGAGACAACTTTTGCTACACATTAAGAAACTGTAGCCCAGTGAGAATGCTGTATATCCAGGTTATTAGTGTGAAATAATAATTAATCAATACAGTAATGGAGTAATGCAGCCTGTGCATTTCTGTTTCTTCCATAGCCTGCTT